GTGCGTCGGTGCATGCTCGGGATCCGAACCCAGACCGCCAGCAGCAGAGCGCGCACACTTAACTGCTACGCCACGGGGCTGGCCTCTATAACAACCATTTTAAAATGTAAAAACCATTCTTAGTTTGTGGGCTTTGCAAAATCAGGTGACAGACCAGAGTATTTAGAATTTTTTTTAGATAACACTGTTACTATGATTTTACGTTTACAAAGTGCCATTTATGCATTCATTCATTTATCCATTATTCAACAAATGATGCTAGGCCCGGTGCTGGATGCTAAAAGATGTATCTTGTAAGGCAAGTATCATTAACCATTTCACAGCCAAGATGATGAGACTCTCTGATCAAGTAACTTGTTAAACTTACTCAGCTAGCAAGTGAGAGAAAAATATTATTTGTTGACTTTTATCCTCTTGGTTTGATTGTAGAATCCGTCCATTAATTAGGGATTCACTTACATTTCCACAGTACTGAATATTGCAAATGTCTCAAGTATCTAGACTAATAGTTTGCTTCTAGTTTGTAAACTTTCTGTGAGCTGCTGTAGTTGTGTATATGTGTATGTTATATATGGTCTGTAATTCATCATTTAAATATAGATGTGTGTTATGCTTACTTTTCACAAGGTCGCATCCATTCAGTTGGTTGGTGTTTTCTTTAGGTGTGGTTTGGAGAAGACCTACCTCTAAGTCCGCGGAGTCCTCTAACCCCCAGACATGGGCCAGGTTTGGCTGATGTTTGTCAGTACGATGAGTGGATAGCAGTGAGGCATGAAGCCACCCTGTTGCCCATGCAAGAAGATCTGTCAATATGGTTATCAGGTTTATTAGGTAAGGCTTGAAAAGATACCCCAAATTGTATTCTCTTCTTCATTAAATATTTATTGAGGATCTTACTCTTTGTTTGATTGTTCCAGAGGCTGGAGATGCTGTAGTGAAGGAAATATTCAATGTCCTTATTCTCACCAAGCTTACATTCTAGTTAGGGAGATATTCCAATTCACTCTAACCCTTAGGGCTTGAATAGTAAGAAAGTTTGAGGCTTAATGGAAGAGGTTAATAGTAAGCTTTGAATAATCAGCATTTTCATTGTTAATGTTAAAATCTTTTTTTAAAAAGTATATAAGTCTAATTTTGGGGTCTGTATTTTACTGATTTTTTTTCCCCTTAACTTTGGATAAGGCATGAGATTCTGAGTGGAATATATACTGTAGTTCAAATGATTACTCTCTCTGAGGCATTGAGGGGCATAGGCATATGAAAGCTAGGAGGAAGTGTCAGGTTGGAGAATGTCTGGCATCACATTTCTTTACTCAGATAATATGAGTGCTTTGAACTTTCTCCCCAGAAAAAATTCTCTTTTAAATACAGAATTTCATGTAGCATTCCAAGATTTTTGTGAAAAGGAATATATAAAGCTCGTCTCTGGCCTTCCCACAATAATTAAAAATGCACTAAGCACTTGCTCTAATTATCTCATATCAGTTTGATGATTTGGATAATTTTTTTAAAGTTTATTATGTAATAATAATGCTTCTAAAGAAGGGATTTTAGAGGTGAAAAGTTGGTATTGCCTGGGTGGGTGTTATGTTATTATCTTTAATTTTTAAGTTATGACAAAAGTCCATCTTATTTATAGAGAATCTTTTTCTTGTGCAAGCAGTGGTAATGTACAGTGAATTAAAACTTAACAGTGAATATTGAAATATAAAACACTTTGGTCTATTTTAAATGAAATAAAATACATGTCATTTTTATTTTTTCTGTACTTCTACATCACAGATATTTTTGTTTCAGTTGTCTTTCATTTAATTTGACATTATCTGCTGTTTTAACTGTACCTTCTAAGAGTGAATACTGGAGTCTGATCTAGTATTTAAGCGATAATCTCATTACATTTAATTAAATTTTAACCATATTGTTTGAATTTGCTGTTTCTAGAAGAATATTAAGTTTGAAATACGTTTTTAGGTATTGAAGTTAAGGCAGAAAAATTATTGGAAGAACTTGATAATGGAGTACTGTTATGCCAGCTGATTAATGTTCTTCAAAATATGGTGAAAACATGCAACTCGGAAGAACCAGGGGTAAGAAAATGTTTGGCAGTTGTGATTTTATACATTGGTACATATTAATTTGTTTATGTACATTTCTTATCATCTCTACAAGATTGTAAACTTCCACCCCAACTATCTATAAGACCTTGGATAATTGACTTAATTTTTTTGAACATCTGGAAAAATATTCTCACTTGTAAAATGGAGATATTAACATTTACCTTGTAGAATTTATTTTGCAAGGATTCAGCAAAATTAAATGAGATAATATATAGATGCTGTTTAGCTTAATGCCTGGTGCATAGTAAATATCCAGTAGCTAGCTCTTCTTGAGAACGGTATTAGTACATTCCTTATAGGATTGTTGTGAGAGTTAAATGAGAAAAGAGCTTGTGATGGTTCCTGGCACACAATTAGGAGCTATCATCATCATCATCATCATCATCAGTCAATCAATCTTGATATTCTCCATATATTGTCTTGGTGGTAAATTCTATAAACATTGATTGAATGAATAGTATTTTTTTAGACAATTTTCCTCCACTGACCCTGAAGTCATGATTTAAGGTAGATAAGGTTTCCTCTTTTTTCATCCAACATGAATATTTTCACTCATGGGATCTTGGGTCTGTGAGTGTGGGGTCTGGACACTCACATAGTGTTGGTGGAAATATAAAGTGATATCTTTCTGGGAGAGACTGGGTGATGTATACCACATTGAAAATAAAGCACATTCTTTGATACATAACATAATTCTATTTCCAGGAATTTATTCTAAGAAAATCACCACAAGTTCACAAAAATGATTGTGCAAAAAAAATCGAGAACAACCTAAATGCTCATCAATAGAGAAGTTGTTAGAAATTAATTATGGTACCTAAACAGAGTAGGATATTATCCATTCATTAGAAATGACTATTTTAATCTGTCATTTTTTACCCCAAAAGATGCCTACAACCTATCATTGTGTGCATGCGCACACGCACACAAATCACATTGTAGAATAGCATGTTTATGTAACATTCTCTAGGTACAGATATGTATGTACTTGTGCACAGAGATGTCTTACTAAAATGTGGATGTGAAGATTTCAGTTGATACAGTCTTTGTATTTGGCTTTTTTTTTTTCCCCCAATAGTCATATATTCTGTATACAGTTAGAAAAACTTACAAGGCTATTTTAATTCTGGAAAATAATAGCAAGAGGAAGGATATATAAGGAACTGGTAATAGTGGTTATCTCTAGGGAGAGAGAGGAACTGAGAGGCAGAGGTGGGAGACAGACATATCCTACGGTGCCTATTGCGTTTTAAAAAATCATATGCATGAATTGCTTATTCCAGTAAAAATTTAAAACAAACCTAAAAACACCTCAGCCTCAGCAGGATTATCTAAATACTCTTGGTCCAGATAGTCAAAAAATTATGATTCTGTAAAACTTAGACCATCAGTTTTCAAAGAACTTGAATTAAGAATGGGCTACTACTTCCTTATTTGATAGTTTCTTCAAGAAACTTAGAACCATATTTATGAATCTGCAAATAAGGAAGTAAGCAAAAATGAATATGTCTGTTAACCCTTAACCTAGCAATAATTTTGTGTTTGTATTGAACTATGTATGGGGGGACATACGATAGAGATGTGCTTTGGAATTATTAGACTGTCATTTTTTATTTTAATTAAGATTCTTATGTCATTTGAAAAAGGAGGTTAGAGATGCTTGGTCATACTGCTAATTTTGACCAGAGTGTTTTTCTAGGAATTATTTTCTGAAATGTACTTAAAGGAAAGTAAAATAAGATCATTTTTGAAGATATCTTTTCCTCCTAAAGCTGGGTACTTTTTAGTTACATTCAATGCACTGAACATTTATTTAGTAATATTAAAATGTATATCTAATGAAAATATCCTTGATGCATTTTTGAAATTTTTCTTTTGTTTTTTCCAGAATTTTCCAATGAGAAAAGTGCCCTGTAAGAAAGATGCTGCCTCAGGTTCATTCTTTGCTAGAGACAATACTGCGAACTTCCTTCACTGGTGTAGACGCGTTGGGGTTGATGAGACTTATCTCTTTGAATCTGAAGGTTTAGGTAAGTTTGTTGTCATCATTGTTATGTTTAATAAAGGATATTTTTCTATGCCTCACTTGTAATTTTTCTTTCCAAATAAGGACTCAAATGCCCTATCCCATTTTCCTAGAAAAACTTATGCTTTTTTTTTTTTTAATTTATGGAAGATGATTATATGCAGAGAAAATAAGAATGTCTTTTCTAAAGTTTCCAAACAAGTAAAACTTAGTCTTCATCATTCTTTTCTTTTACTTCTTCCATACCAGAAATATATTTCCTTATTTAATTTTTATCCTTACAATATGTGATCTTATTTTTTCAGTTTTACATAAAGATCCAAGACAGGTGTATCTTTGTCTTCTTGAAATTGGTCGAATTGTGTCAAGGTATGTATTCCATGATATTTCAGAATTTCAATGTCATAAACATTTTTTAAGCTACTTTATTTTAGCTAGAACACTATTTTCTATAAATAAAAGAAAATTTTTGATTGAAATAAAGTAACTTAATTTCCTATTTTTCTTTTTGTTTCATTAACTTTGTTCTGTTTGTGTGAGCTATGTCATGTGTCAACATCTGCTTGCTCATGTAGCTTGCCTTTATTTAATATTAAACTTTAAATTGGTTACTTAAATTTTTTAGATTAAGAATAGACTAAGAGCAGGTAGTCTTTTAGCAGTTCAAGGTGAGGCAAGTCCTCTGGACACAAAGAGGATCTGATAAGAAGGCCGAGGCTTGCTGTCCTCCATACCTAGCTCAGCTCCATCTTTACTCATGAGCTGATTTTAAAGGTGCCTTTCAGGATCTCTGGTTAAATATTGGGAGCATCCAGTAACCCAAATATGTGCTATGATATGAAGATTATAATCTGAATTTTTGGCAATCTATGGGATATTAAAAAGGATTTCCAGATGTCCCAGTGAAACAATTGGTAGAAGAGAGTCATACAGACTTCATTTAAAGATAAAATATAACCTATTGTGATATGTGGGGAAGTGCTTGGGTCAGACTTAGCTTGAATGATGAGATCTCCTAATTGGTTTTCAGATATGGGGTCGAACCACCAGTATTAGTAAAACTTGAGAAAGAAATTGAGCTAGAAGAGACCTTACTCAATGCTTCTGGGCCTGAAGAGTCTATCAGCATTCCGAAATCATGCTGTGAGCATGAAGAGCTGCATGAAGCTGTAAGTAATTGCCACACTTTCTTTCGACTATGATGCATCAAAGGCTCATAGTTTGCCACAGGTGATACTATGTTTAAAAGAAAATGTTTCCTATTCAGAATATACACAAGTACTCATTTCCACTCCCTTGTGAGTTCAGGGTACTATATGTTAAAGGTGATTTGTTGTTGTTTGTGTATGATGAGGAATGGATGTGTAGTTGAGGAGCAGTGGGGCAAATAGGCTGGAACCCATCATGAAGAGTACTGTTGGCCACAGGAGTTCATTGATTTTTTTTTTTTTTAACGTGGTAGTGTTATAATCTGATTTGCAAATTATAAGAATTACTTTCATGGTCATGTAGAGGTTATATTGGTTTTATTGTAGAAATCCAGACATAAGATGATGAGAACCCAGACTCGAGCAACAGTAGTGGGAATGAAGCAAAAGGAACAAATATAAGACATATTTAGGAAGTAGAATCGACAGGAATACTAATTCTGATAAGGAGGGAGAAAATCTAGAATGATTCCTAAGATTTCTAAGTAGGTAGTACACTGATTCTTGGAGATTATAGGAGGAGGAAAAGTCGTGAGGGCAAGTTGATGAGGTTTTTCTGGACATTCTCCCTGATGGATATATGCGGACTTGTTAGATGACGGGTCTCAACTGGAAAGTCTTCTTAACTCGACCTATTCATCCTTATCTAGAAGTGAATAGAATTGCAGTTGCTTAGGCTGTGTGTCCTGTACAGTGACTACAACAGTATATTAAGTGATAGAGGTGAACTGAGTATCAAACTTTTCTGCTTAGACTGTGCTTAGAATTCATGGTCTTTTTTGGATTATAGTATTTTATGAAAGTGCTTAATGTACAAAATTATTTAAGAAATAATGAAGTCATTAATAGTAAACATTTAGAAAGTGTTGCTTTGTTTTGTTTAATGTAATAAAAGTCTGTAGTAAAACATTTGGATAGCCTTGTAAGACAGATTAAGAAAATGTCAGTCTGAACAACTCTTTATCAGGCCAAAGTATATTTACCTACATTATATTATTGATATATATGATGACTGTGAATATTAATATGTGACACAGAGATAATGTAGTAGGTAAAAAGTAAAACTTATTTTAAATCTCATATAACCTAAAATAATGATAATTAAATAAAAAGGAAGATATTGGGAAAATATTTTTTTATTAAATAGGAAATACAATGTGTTAATTTCCCTATTATATAAAGACCGTATACAGTGAGATAAGAAAAACATTTCCAGTAGGTAAATGGGCAAGGACTATTCACACAAGAAGAAAGTACGATGTTGAAACTCATTGATAATTAAGGAAATCAGATATACAATTTGCCCCATTAGCAAAATTTTTTAAAATTATGAAACCTAGTGCTGGTAAGTTCTGGTAAAACTATACTTAGGGATTGCCATTGGCAATGGAAAATGATGTAATTGAAGAGGAAAAAAAAGCGTGCTTCAAAGTATTTATTGCACTGTAATTTATATGCATGTGGTATGTGTATGTATGTATGTGTGTGTGTATGAATATGTGTGCACACGTTCACATATACTTGTCTGTGAACAAGAAAAACTTGATTGTTTGGCTTATGAAAAGCAGTTCTATTTGTGATCATGTTATTTTGTTAAATGAATGATGTAGGGAGATAAATTCTGGATCCTTCAGGCCCTGGTGAATCCACATGTGTCCATTCATTTTTAGATAGATAATGAAGGCAATCATAAATTTCTGTTAGCGCTCACCTAAATTGGGCATATCTGAAGAGACTTTCTTTAACATTATGCCCAAGTTCAATGAAATGAATTTGTTTAGATATACTCTGTGTAACAAGTAATTGATAAAAATATTCATGGCCTTGCTTTTTCAAAAATGTAATTTTAGGAAAATAAAAATTTTCCATAGTGATTGATATGTGACTCTTTTTTTCAATCAAGCGTATCTCAACAGATATCTTCTTTTTTTCTTTTTTTTTTTTGTGAGGAAGATCAGCCCTGAGCTAACATCCATGCTAATCCTCCTCTTTTTGCTGAGGAAGACCGGCTCTGAGCTAACATCTATTGCCAATCCTCCTCCTTTTTTTTTTCCCCAAAGCTCAAGTAGATAGTTGTATGTCATAGTTGCACATCCTTCTAGTTGCTGTATGTGGGACGTGGCCTCAGCATGGCCGGAGAAGCGGTGCGTCGGTGCGCATCCGGGATCAGAACCCGGGCCGCCAGTAGCGGAGCGTGCGCACTTACCCGCTAAGCCATGGGGCCGGCCCTCAACAGATATCTTAATCAATTTATTTTAATTTCCATGTTTTAAATATAGGATTCCTGAATCTCTCTTTACATTTACTCCAATTTTTGCCATTTTTTTAGGTATTTACTGCAATTAAAAATTTTGTAAACTCCTTGAGGGATAGAAGTAGGTTTTTCTGCCTGACTCTCATCTCCTTAGCAGACTATTGAAACAAAGTGAGCACTTTTAGAAAAGTGCCTTTTGAATTGAATTGTTTTAGAATTTTACCTAATCTTGGGTGAATAGATATAAATATGTCTCTGCCTATTTTAGCAGTATCTTTGGAACAAATCTAGATACTCCCCTATGATATTAGTTTAGCGTAGTGTTAAGGGACAAGTGAGAATTCCTACTTAAGCTTTACCTGACTGGCCTATGTTTGATTTGACACAGATAATATTATTCCAGGCCTTAAAACAAATGAAACATAGTAATGAACTCATATGTTTCCTGTGACTTAATGTATTGTGAATTGACTTCACTGTCGTACACATTAACAGACCTTCTATAGTGGTCGGTGAGTGCACTACGAGCCTGATTGTGCTGGGGCAGAGAGAGAGAGACTGACTCAAGACTTCATCACTGCTAAGTTTTTTTAGATTAATGTCTCATCTCAGTATTTGTCAACAAGTAAAGGAGAGAGATAAATAGTTGAACTATCTTTAAATTTTTATCTTTGAGTTAAATTTTCCCAGCTATCAAATAACCTTGCATTTTAATGTTAAACAAAATACTTTTTGTCACAAGCACTAAATTTTATTTATTTTTAATCTTAGGTTAAACATATTGCTGAAGACCCTCCTTGTAGTTGTTCTCATCGATTTTCTATTGAGTACTTATCTGAAGGACGGTACCGACTAGGAGATAAAATACTCTTTATAAGGGTAAGTCCACCATTTCCAT